TGGTTGCCCATTATAAGAGCCCGATGACAGGCATGCCTGCCGATCAGGCCCACTCATCTGGACATGCCTTTAGTTATTTCGATGAATTATTCCAATATATTTTTTAAGATTCTACAACTTCTCCCAGCCTTTATGATAACTATACCCAGCGTAAACACTATTTGAGAATTTCATCAAGAGCGTTAGTGTATTTTTTTTATATGAAACTAGCTTATTCTTTATATGAGACATCAATCACAAAAGTAATGAAAATTTTGTCCAGTTTGCTATTAGACAATATGGATGTACTCGTGGTTTGCAAATATTTTAGAATTTTTAAATACTTTGTAGTCCTAGATATTCGTAATAATCGATATCGATGCATATTTTTTGGTCTTAGATATCCTTACTTGTCGATGTTAATGCATCCATTGTGGTCCTAGATATCCGTAGTTATCAATATCTATGCAGTTACCGATGTTCTTGGAATGTTTATCATGTATCGAGACTGAAAGCTGAAAAGATAAATGGCCGTTTGATATCAATATTATGAAAAGTTTTAGTTTATATCATTTTTATTATCGAATGTTTTCTTTTCATATTCATGTCTTAAATGTGTATAACCTGCTTTAAATGTAGAAGTGAAAATTATCTTTAATTTACAGATAAACTTGGGTTGTCAAATTTTGGAATATATGGAAAATTAAAATTTGTTTGGTTTGTGAAATTTTGCTCATATATGTTTAATAAAGCTTGATAAAGTGTGTCTGCTAATCACTAATCATTATTTTGCTCATTTTTAAATGGAGTTTTGTTCACACTCTTAGTTATATGTAAGTATTATTGTGTATATTTTAAATATACAATGAAATTTGTTTGTATATATAATGTGTAATGTATATTTAAAATGTAACTGCCATCGGGCCTACTGGCTAGTACAGTGGTAACACGCTAGCCTCGCATACTAGAGGTCGACGGATCGAGCCTCGTCCAGGCAAGAAAGTCTAAGCTTGGTAGTTTACTGCTGTGGTTGGGCACCATACTAGGAGGTTGGGGTGTGTATTGCTGACGCCCGCCCTACGGGTCCTCCATGACCCGTTCCACCCATCCTAGGGAGAAGAATCTATAAATACAAAATTTATTAGTGTAAATAAAATTCTGTCCGATAAAATTTTGCATAAACTGACTGACTGACAGGATGGGATAGGATATGAGGGGAAAAAAGGGGAGGGGATTATGGATATAAGGGAATTGGAGGGAAAAGCACGAAAATTAAATAAAGTAAGAGCTAAAAAGAGAGGGGCAGACCTTCGTGCTAATGCATAAACTCTTCCTGTGTATGTCCAATTTAAAGAAAATTTATAAAGAATTTCAAAATCTGATGCATGAATATCTTTGTACAAATACAATTCTATTCCATGATTTATAGCTAGATATGATTTAATCCTTACTCCAATTTATAGAATAAGTTTTCCATAGATAAAATTTCTAATTTTCATTTCTGCTTGTACGATTTGAACATAAAATAATGGCACTTTTTTCACTTGTAAATATTAAATGTATATTTTTACTCTCAATAAACTTAAAATCTAAGTTTAATCATTTCTTCAATCTTTCCCATTTTACAATAATAATTATGAAACCTTGCTTTCTTTCCAATGGCATATTTGATCTTGGCTATAGAACGGCCTTTGAAATGGATCCAAACTACTAAAATATAATCAAGTAGGTGTTTTGAGTCACGTGATAACTAAACAAACATTTATTTACCTAGCCCTCGAGAATTACTGTAGTTAACAACTCTGAACTCTTAATGTATTAAGAAAGTGCTCCTAAATTTTTTTAATGGAATAGTACTCTAATTTTGAAGATCTTTTATATGTTAGTTCTTATAATATAATATGTATCAAAAACTAGTTTAAATACTAGTTGTAATGAAAACTGGTGAAAAATCATCTTGTAAGGAAACAAACTTCACCAACTTGTCTTCCACTCCCTGGTGGAATGAAGTTGTACCCTCAGCTGGCCTGGGACAACTACTAACAGGGTGCTACTTGACAAAGAAGGGTATCAGATGCTCCTTAGCCCCTTTTCTGCAGTTTAGCTCTGCTAATGATAGTGGTGCATACTTGCCTCACCCATCTCAGGATGACCACTGGGCGGACACTAGTTTCACTCTGCAAGCATGCTCTGCAATCAAAGGTGCATGAAGTAGACCTTGGCAAGAAAAGAGTCTTCGCAGCAGTCACCAAGACAGTTACACCTGATATTTCATATGTTCACGAGCACTAGGGCTATGATCGCACACATCAGAGACCTCAAGCATAATCTGCATCTGCAAATGCTTGCAGTTCTCTGGTAGGTAAAGGGAAATGAAGCATAAGAAATTGCACTTATTGGCAGCAGAACGATAGACAACATAGAAACTAGGACAACTGCTCTTAGCAAATTTATAGTCATTATTCCAAGAGTCTTAGGGACATTATTGAGTGTTCAATTTACCAGAATTCATTAGCGGTTTGAAACAGCAGAAGGCAGCACTACTAAACTTTATGAGGAGCCTATTAGTAACAGAGAAAAAGTAGAATGACAATCTGAGAAAATATAAATATCTATATTTACAATAAAGAATGGCAATAATTGATGCTAATTGTACTAGCAAACACAATAATGAAAACTATAGCAATAAATTTCATAATAATCAGGACAGTAATAAGCATGAATTAATAATAATAATAATAATAATGTTCCGGTTTTACGTCACGGACTCCCTTATCAACCAAGGGCTAGGACGGTTGCCTTCTTGCGAAGGACTTGTTTTGGCAGATGTAATCCTTACGCTGAGTGCATGCCTTTGCTAACCTCAGACCGTGACGGGGCGCGAACACTCGACCTGACGCCTCAGAGTCGGAGACGCTACCGACTGAGCCACGGCGACTACTACTACTACTACTACTACTACTACTACTACTACTACTACTACTACTAATAATAATAATAATAATAATAATAATAATAATAATAACGATGATGATGATGATGATGATATTAATAGTAATAATAGTAATAGTAATAATAATAATAGTGGTAATAGTATTAGTAATAATAATAATAATAATAATAATAATAATAATAATAATAATAATAATAATAATGCAATGATAATAGTAATAATAATAATAATGGTAATAGTAATAATAATAGTAACAATAATAATAATTGTAATAATAATACTAACAATAATAGTGATAATAATAGTAATAATTAATAATAGTATCTACACTTGGCCACATTCCCCCTTGTAAAGGGAGGAAAAAACCAAGATGCACGTATTTACCACTATACACACATACCTCAACTATTCCTTTTAGCTCCTTGGGGATGAAGGGATGCCACATTTCCTCCCCCTACCATTTTCTTTGGGCCATCCACAAGATAGGTGGGCAGGGATATTCTAAAGCAAGGGCCGACAGCCGCAGCTGGTTTACCCCCACTGCTTC